CAAATTTCTCCGTAAGCAAATGCTCTATAGAGCCAAACAACAGTTGATAAATACCACCTTGGTATAGCAAGCCTCAAAATTCTTATCTCTCATCTGTCGTAAGAGGAGCGTACACTTTCATCGACCGGTAACGGAACGCACTTGTCCGGCCCCGCCTTTGCCTTTGGCCTCATTTCTCGGACCCTGACAACAGCTGTGGTAGCAGCTGCTTGCCCCGTTCATCTGTAGCCCACGCGATAATTGGCTGAACAACCAGTAACAACGAGAGTAAGAGAGGACTGATTGACTACGGTTAGTAGGCCAGAAATGGCCATTAATGTATCCCTAGTATTTGTCATTATTTAAACAGTGTTTCGAATATAAACTTCGGAGGAAGTCTAATCTTGTAGGAAATTTGTAGGAGAAAGGATGTTTGCTACAACATATTGTCGGATTTCGAAGGTCGTTTAAAATTAAATTGTTAGAAAATGCACACCTTGTCATGCTTGATTTATTGTGATTTCGCAGGTGGTTAGAAGGGCCAATTCGAAATCCGACACCCTCATGCTCCGAAATTGGCTCGGGATTATGTTGCATGATAATCAGAATTGCAATGCCACATAAGTAGCACTTTCTACTCGAAATTACATTTCGTAATTTCAGTTTGTGCTTCGTAAAATGCGTCTTATCCGCTCAGCACAGTGTATTAACCTCAACACGTTTCTACAAACTTTTTGGACCAGTAATTGTCGTTGCCTGCGCACGTACAGTGAATGTGCTATTTCATGAAATGTTAACCGAAATTCTGAAGTATGTATTTTCTTCCAAAAAAGGTAACTTAAGTAGGTTCATCATATTAATTATCCTGCAGCATGATCACTAGCTATTTTAGTCCTGTCTGGATGCCAGCCTTTAAACGAACTTCTTTTCAGCTGTATGCAAAAAATTGCATTATAAAAAGTTTCGAATTAGGCGATTTCCCAAGATTGTTAAATGTCCATTCATAAAGCATCGTATCCGCTCATTAATAACTGCTGATTTTCAAGTACGCAACATGGTTCGCATTAACTGCAAAATGTAATGAGCCCTAAATGACGTGTTCTTAATAGCATCTATAAATGCATGATTCTACTTACGTGAAAATGTGTACATTGAGGTTTAGAAGTGATGAATTCAGTTGTAGCAACCGTCCGGGATAAAAATTATTCAAACTTAAAAAGTGAAAACGCCCCACTTTTCAATTATAATATTGGAAGAAGACGTGATTTGCCAACAAATTAAAAAATAAGGAATATTTAGATGCATACTTTCTACGAAATAGATTTGAATTTGCGAGGGCATGGCAACTCCATAAAACCGTTATGTTAGTTAAGTAATCTTTTTAAACAGACTGTATTTTTTACAAGCTGCCAAAAAGACTCGTTCATATGCGGCTATAATATCTTGACTTAATCATCTTAGGATTATGTCACGCTAATATTTCATGAGATACCGTACGTGGGCTCCGACACTATCCCTTATTAAATCTAGTTCAAAGAAAGTTCCATCTGAATGAAAAAGTTCGCGTCCCAGATATTTACGTGGATAAGGAAGAAGGATTGTGGAGCACCGGAACAATATGATTATTATCGTGAGCTTTAGAACTATTACGGGAGTCCATCTTCAGAGATAAGAGACAGCATCAAAAAGAGGATAATTAGTGAGTGTACGCCAGTCAACTGTCAGAGGTTGTTAGGGGTGAGAAACAGCAATCCAACAGGAGGGGAGGAAGAGAATTTATAAGGGTGTACGTTACTGATGTCAAGGGTCGTCAGGGCGTTATCACCGAAAAAGGGGGCAATTATAGAGGATGTGCCCCAATTAACTGTCAGTGACGGACTTCTGGAGGTGACTGCACAGGGCTCTATCCGCCGGCGCCAATTCGAAGGGCAAATTCAGGAATGCAAAAACAAACTATCCAACCGGCTGCTCGTGACAGGCATTTTAAAATTTGACTTTCTCCTTTGTTACCTAAATGCCCTATTTCGGTACTGACTTGTTATCTAAGCTCATTCTCTTTCTTGTAGAAATTCCTTGGTGTTGCAACCTGCTTTTTGGACGACACACTCAGCACAATCATTGATAAAATAGTAGACGCTGGAGTGAGTGTTTACTGTGACTGCCCTTTTTCTCTCCTGTAGGCACAAAAATGTGTTTTTACAGC